TGTTTTTTTTTTGGTGACAAAGTCGAAGTATCTGCCTCGTGTTGCTCTTCCCTAAAATTAGTCAGCCTTCCTAGGGGAACCTGCCAACATCCTTACTCTTATTTCCTATTTTCCATCCATCACCAGTGACTGTGGCTATGCCAGGCATATTCTCTTTTAACCCCTCAGACTTTGACGTGTTCAGGTAGAAGCCATTACAAGACATAAAGAAATATAATTTCTCATGTGTGCCTAATGTGATAAGAACTATTGATAATTCCCTTCACAGATGCTACTGAATATATGAAATGCTAATACTGTAATAAATAACGTTTGAGTGAATTCTTTGTGAGATTACACACACACACACACACACACACACACACATATATATATAGACTACAGTTTATTGTCAAAAGATTTTTAGCACTAGCCTCTTATCTTAGACCCAGGCTTTTACTTTCAGTTGCCTATGGCACATATCTTTTTAGATATTTACCTTAATTTTTCTTGCAAAATATCTAAAACTGGATGTTTTTAGCATATCCTCCAAACCAAACTTTTTTTCTACCTCTCCATTTCTGTCAGTAGTTCCTCCCCCGGTTTTTTTTTTTTGGTGGGGGGAGGTTTCATCAGGTCTAAAAGCTATGTAGCTATCACTGAGTATTTCCTCCCTTTTATCTACTAAGGGAACCAAGGCATCAAAGTATCAACATTGGTTGAATTTTTGCATTCAAAATATCTCTCAGATCCAACAGTCCTTCAGCAACATCTTGTTCTAATACATCACCACCACATCCCACTTCCTGTCTCCTGTTTGCATGCATCAAATAATCCTGTGTACTGCAGATAAGTTAATTTTCCTAAGACACTACTTTTATTATGCCATTATGCCTGCCACTGCCTATTTATAAAGAAAAAAACTTCAACCTGATAATTGAGAATACAGAGTATCTTTCTTTCGTGTTTCCTCTGCCAGATTTGCCCTTTTTAGCTGTTTCCCCCATTTATCTGAGTAAACACTCATCCTTCAACAACCCACTTTAATGTCACCTCCTCTATGAAGCCTTTTCTGAACTAATTAATCATTTCATCCTCTGTGTTTTATAGCATCCATCATATTATATTACAGTTTGCTGTTTATCTGTACTTTTTTGTACTTTTTGTTCTACTCTTGAGTTATTTAAGGTTAGGGCCTAGTTTTTGCTTATATATTCATTCCTCGAATGCTGCACAATATCTGGCATAGAGTGGTAATTTAATACATATTTGTTAAATGAATGAGTGAATACATAAAATAATGGCAGTGTTATATGGTGTTCATTCTCAACTCTACATTTACTCACATTTTCTTTACTTTTCTGAAATGCCTTTGTACTGTTCTCCAAAAATTCAAATGCAATAGATTTTTGAAAATAGTTGAATACAAAATGATATATTTGATATTATTGTAACTATTTAAATGTGGGCACATATTCAACTACTCTAGGTAGCACCTACATTGAAGTGGTAGAATTTATGGTTACTGTTGACATTGAACTTATTGTAAACAGATTTTAAAGTTCTCCATTTTGTTTTATTTGTGCTGCTTTTTCAAAGTGTTAGGTCACTTATCATGGTGACCTTAAAATATGATGTAAAATGATAAGTACCTGTTGAATATTCACCACAAATATATTATTTCACCATGCATGTGTACACACACACACCAAACTTTAAATTTCCTGCCAAGTGTTAGATCAAATTCTACTTCTTCCTTTAAATGTTCCACGAATCATTTCATTTAACAGAATTTGTATTAGTCTGTTCTCATGTTGCTAATAGAGACATATGTGATACTGGGTAATTTATGAAGGAAAGAGATTTAATTGACTCACAGTTCCACATGGCTGGGGAGGCCTCACAGTCATGGCGGAAGGTGAATGAGGAGCCCTCTTACATGGCGGCAGGCAAGTGAGCTTGTGCAGGGGAATTTCCATTTATAAAACTGTCAGATCTCGTGAGACTTATTTACTATCAGGAGAACAGTATGTAGGAAATAGCCCCCGTGATTCAATTATCTCCACCTGGCGCCACCCTTGACATGTGGAGATTATTATAATCCAAGGTGAGATTTGGGTGGGGACACAGAGTCAAACCAAATCAGTATTGTTTTTCTCGAAATCCCTTTAGCACATTCAGCCTGTAAGATGAAACTAGTGTTTCATTTACTATGGCCAAATATTCTGTTTTATCTCTTACTTCACATTAAAGCTAGGATTTCTTTATTTTTAAGCTTTCATAGTTTCAGGTAAACAGTAGGCAATTAACCAATACTTAATCTTGCTGATGTTGTTGATTTTGATGATGATGAGAGCCCCTGCCAGGGCTGACAAGCTGAGATCATTTCTTATTTTATAGTGACACAGGTCTTTATAAAAAATTAGCACCTTCTCTGCTGGAAACTCTTTGCAAGTCTGTAAAATTGAGTTTGCTTCTGGCTAGACTTTTCTTTTTTCCTCCTCAATTTAAGGTATTAGCTATTCTGGGATTTGTGAGTGTTCTCCTGCCAGGCTTTTTTCTTTGTTTCCCCTCTCTCTAAATCCATTTATGCATATAAACTTTTTTATTTTTTTCAATTACACAATATCATTCTCTCCAACAAGGTAGACAGATGAATCTTTTGCTAATGATTTAGCACTACAAAACTTAAACACTGCTTATTGAAAGTCTACTGAGTAGGCAAGGTTTGTTTTTGTTTTCCTCCAGAAGCATGAGGCAATAATATAATATATAATTCATATTTCTTTTAACAGGAAAGTTTTCTCTTTGGAATTTAGATTTTATTTTCTAAATTACATGGCCATTTTTCTTTATACCATTTTAAAAATTACATTTCTAGCAAACCAAGGTATGTTTAGTAAATTTTAATATTGATCAACATGAATTTATTGTTACCAACTTTTAAAATTAAGATTTAAATAAAGCATCATTTTAAGTTCACTTTACCTGGTTGTTTTAGATCAGGTGCTTGAATGATTTGTAAAAGAGCAGGCAATTGCTATTTAAATGGCTAAATAGTATTTTATCTTCAGAATGGAATCACGCGTTTAATTGGTATTTCTTATAAACAAAAGTGTTCATTGGTCAAGTTGAAGTATAATTATAATTTCATTATTTCTCCCATTAATTCTAATATCAGATAGTTTTCATCTACATTTTAAAATTGAATGAATAACAAGATTGTATATCTGCTTAAAAGTAACCTTAAATTTTTTCTTTTGAAATTGGTACATAAATTTTTCTTATTCTCTAAGACTATGCTATTTTTCTGAGATCTTATTGTTGCTTCTCAGTGGACTTAAATAAACAATGTGAATATTGGTGTTATTAATCTTAAAATTTTAAAGCATAAAGTCTAATTCTACTCTTTTTAATTTGTCTGGAATTAGGAAATTGGTTTGAGAAGAAATATAGTATTTATGTCATATTTGTCGTTTAATTCAGTCTAAGTTTGAACTTCTCATCTGTGGCCTCTTAGGATCCGGAGCAGCCCTCAGGGACTCAAAGTATGATTTGTCATTACCATATAATCCTCTTGGATGGAGAAAAGATCATTGCTGTGAAGCTCTTAGAGCAAGAGAGGACTGAAGAAGTTAAATATATGGACCATAGACTATAAAACATAATCTATTAGAAAACAAACCTTGCAGTATGTAGTCAGATGCCTAATTAAATACATTATCAATTAAACATACTAAGTCATAGAGCTAATGAGGTTGAAAAAAAATCTTTCTTTAAAGCCAGATTTAAATTACCACACACATTTATGTCCAGTTAACAATTCTTTTCTTGGCATATTTTTTTCTCCATTTCCATGTCTTTAAATCCAGGATTCGTGTATTCTCAGCTTGAAATTACAACTCACTGAGAAATAACATGCTGTTTATCTGCTGGGCTCAAAACTAGGAGACTCCAGGAGTGAGTTCAGAATTAGCTAGAGCAGTTTAAGCATTGAAGTGTTAATCTCTGTAATGATACTCCTCAGGTCACAACTATCTAGGGGCTATTTAGCCCTTGTTATATTTTGCAATTTCTTTTTTCTTACTTTCCTCTTTCAATGAAGGCAGGAGGCCGAGAAGACTACTAGCTGCCAGCATTTCTATTAACAAAACCCTAGCTGTTTCTTTAAAGTGGGCTTTCCAAAACAAACAAACAAACAAACAAACAAACAAAAAAAACCCCAAAACAGAGAAGTACTTTTTCTTTACAGTTTATTTTTTAACATAGCAAATCAGCTTTTACCAGAGCAAATGCTAACGTCTCAATATGCAGAAAATGGAAATCTCATGATTTTTCTATTTTCGTTTCTTCATGGTGATGGATTATTAATACTGATTGGTCTCCACTTTATGTCCACTATTTTGAATCCCCAAATACATCCACCAGTATTCTAGCTTGATGTGAAGAGTGCCTTTTATTACTAGTTGTGGTCTCTTGAAATTTTTTCAGAAAATAAATGTGTGTGTGTGTTTTATGTGAGTGTGTGAAGGGAGAGTGAAGGGAGGGAAGGACAGGGAAAAAAAAAAAGAGCTGTTTAAATGGTATTAGAAATCCATGGTATGAATAACAGAAGGTTAGTATTTCTTATATTGAACTTACCTAAAAGTTCATTTGGGACTGGAATTATAATGTTTACCCTGTAAAATGCACAAATAAGTCTGCATCTTATCATTGTTATTATTGCCTGCCCATTGTCCAAATTTGCTTTAGCCACTGTTAAAACACAAGAGTTCACTGTTTTTATCTACTTAGGGACCAATGTAGTCCATTGATTTTGTTTCATGTTGAGCTTAAGTCAACCACCTTCGTTTTAGAGTAACTTAAGGAGCATTTTTACTGGGTTCACTTTAGAGTTGAGTCATGCCTTGGAAGACTGATCAATATCAGCAATTAAGTGACATACATTATGTTCAAGTCATCATACACATTCTCTCTAACTATGAATCACCTATGATATTGCCCTGTCTACTGTATTGCAGGAAAAACAGAGGTTCCTGACTGATGTTCTGCATGAAGTGATGCTGCTGGACGGCTTGGTCAGTTCCCATCCAGTATCACAGGAAGTGCTGCAGGCAACAGATATTGACAGGGTGTTTGACTGGATCGCATATAAAAAGGTGGGAATAAAGAACAAAGTGCCAATTAGATATTTCACTACCAAGATAGCTAAACTAATTCATGTTAGATGTGTATATTTTTCTTTTCTTCTGGGCGGATAGACATAGACTGTGAGTTACAAAACAGAGTCACTAGGTTCATGAGCTACGGTTTTGCTTTAAAAGTTGGCAAAATGGAGATTAATGTTTGCAAATAATGCATAGAAATATTGGAAATATTAATAAATATTTGGAGAATCAATATGAAGTTGCTCTACAAATGAAGTTATGTAAATGTCAGTTTTTATTATTATTAATAAAAGAACTGACTCATATAGTGACAAATTAATTTTCACCAATGCCCTTAAATACTAATTTATTTTGATGGGCCAATACAAATGGATATAGGTAATGACATGATACATGCATCTTATATATACTATTTGAAAGATATTTTGAAAATTAAACATGTTTCCTGAATAACTAAACATAACAAATATAATTTTAAAAAGACTAGACTTTGGCAATGAATAATTTTGAGCCAATGACTAAATGTAAAAATAAGGTAAATATGAATTTTTCCCATTGTTACTTGGATTAGGATTTTTCTTTGTATCTCTTCGTTGTTCTAATTTTAACGTGATGATGTGCCTCTTCGTGTTTTACACGTAGTAGTCACTTAATGATGGTTGAAATAGGATCAAAGTCTGCTGTGATCTTTAGTGTAGGTTAAATTGCATTTTTTGGAATTTCTATGTACTTTTTTTTTTGAGACAGAGTCTCGCTTTGTCACCAGGCTGCAGTGCAGTGGCGCCATCATGGCTCACTGCAACCTTTGCCTCCCGGATACAAGGGATTCTCCTGCCTTAGCCTCCTGAGTAGCTGGGACTACAGCATGGGACTACAGGCATGTACCACTACACCTGGCTAATTTCTGTATTTTTAGTAGAGACAGGGTTTCACCATGTTGGCCAGGCTGGTCTTGAACTCCTGATCTCAAGTGATCCACGAGCCTCGACCTCCCAAAGTGCTGGGATTACAGGTTTGAGCCTTGACGCCCAGCCTGGAATACTATTCTTGATACTCTGTGAGGGGTAAAAAGATATCATGAATAGCAGCATGCAAATAACTAGGAAGGTAGAAGTTATTCCCTGAAGCGTTTATTGTAGTTAACACACACACAAAATATTTTGGTTGGGTCCTGTTAGTCCTCCAACTTTGTTCTTTTTCTTTTTTTTTTTTTGTAAGTTTCTTTGGTCCTTTGCATATGAGTTTAAGAATGAGTTCTTAAAGTCCTACAAAAATTATACTGGAATTGCAGAAATGTGCATTGTGTTTATAAAACTATTTGGGAGAGTTGACATCCTAGCAATATTGACTGACCCATGAATACAGTATGCCTCCAGTTCCTTTAGGTCCCCTTTATTTCTGTCCATGATGTAGTTCTTAGTGAATACATTTTTCATATTTTTTTTCAGATTTATCCCTAAGTATTTCACATTTCCGGGCAATTGTAATAGTAGTATTTTGAAATTTCATTTCTAATTTTTGTGTTGCTATACATAGGATACAGTTCATTTTGCCTATTTATCTGGTACAATATTAAATAGAAGTGGTGAGAGCAAACCCTTGTGCTGTTCCTAATTTTAGAAGCAATACCTTCAGTCTTTATCCATTAGTATGTCTCTAAATATTTATAAATGCCTTTTATCAGGTTGAAGATGTTGCATGCCCTTTCTACATTGCTAAAAGTTTTAATCAGAAATGGGTGTTGACTCAATTCAATGCTTTTCTCCAGCATCTATCAAGATGGTTATATATTTTTTGTTTTTTAGTTTGTCATTATGGTGAATTATAATGATTAACTCTTTAATGTTAGGCCATCTTTGCATTTCTGAGACAAATGTCATTTAGTCATAATATATTATCCTTTTTATAAATTGTCAGATTCAATTTGCTAAAAACATGTTTAGAAATTTTGCACCTGTGCTCATGAGGGATATTAGTGCCTAATTATCTTTCTTGTAACGTCTTCCTTGTTGTCACTATAATACTAGCATCATGTAATGGCAACTATTATCTTTTTCAACTTTCTGGGAGAATTTGTATAAAATTTATATTTATATTATGTCTTTCTTGAATGTTTGTTAAAAGTATGTTTGTTACCAGTATAACAGTAGAGACCTGAAATTTTCTCCCTGGGAAGGTTTTTAACTAATGATTTAATTTTGTTAATATGTGGTAGGTTATTTATTTATTTTAATGTGAGCATTGGTGGTTTATTTCTTTCTCAAGCACTTGGCCCATTTCATCTAAAATGTTTAATTTATTGGCATAAAGTTTTACAGGATATATTCCCTTATTATCCCTTTAATAACTGTAGCATCTCTAATCATATAACCTCTTTCATTCCAGATATTGGTAATTTGTGTATTATTCATTTTTTTGTGATTTGTTTAGCTGAACATTTATAAATTTTATTGATCTCAGAAATGCATCTTTTGTTGTAATTGATTTTCTCTCTTGTTTTCTATTTCGTAAATATCCTCTCTAATCAATATTTCCCTTTTCTACATACTTTGAATTTAAATTTTTCTTTTCTCTAAGTTCCTAAGGTAGAAGCTGAGGTCATTAACTTGAGACCTTTCTTCTGTTCCATTTTAAGCATTTATTCTGTAAATTTTTTCTTAAGTGTACCACCTAGAAAATCTCCCAAATTTTGATATGTTTAAGTTTCATTTTCATTCACTTTAAAATGCCTGCTAATTCTCCCTTTCATTTGTTAATTTCGCCATGTCTTATTCAGAGTGTATTATTTAGATTCCAAATAGTAGAAGATTTTTCCAGAAAATTTTCTGTTATTCATTTCTTACTTAATTTTATTGTGGTCAGTGAATATACTCTGTATGACTTGAATCTTCCTAGATTTATTATGGTTTACTTTATGACCCAGAAGTTGATATATGTTGGTAAATGTACTGTATCCACTTCAAAAGAATATGTATTCCACTAGTGTTAGCTGGAGTGTTCTATAAATGCCAATTAGGTGAGGTTGGTTGATAGAGTTGTTCAAGTGTTCTGTATCCTTATTGATTTTCTGTCCACTTGTTCATCATGCTTTCTTGATGGGCCTTCATTGTGTGGACTCCCTCACACAGTACCAAATCAAACATCTAAAACTGTGGAGAAAAATAGTGACCCAGTTATCTGCTGGCATATCTGAAAAATAATTTTCAAATGTGAATATGGAGAAAGGAGGATTAAAACATTTAGGCTGAAATTTCAGGGACTTCATTTTGATAATCTCAGCATCAGGCCTTGATGTAAATTCAGTTTCCTAGCCTTGTTCTTTGATTTGGCTTCACTCAGGTTCTTCCTATAAGAAAACTAGTATGTGCATAATGGGTAATAACCAATTACTTTGTAAGTAGAACAAAGGTAAACTATGTTGGGTTTTGTAGGTTAAACAACATCATTCTGGGATGTATGACAGGTAATATAGATGATTCTGGAGACATAAATAATAACTGCTAACATTTATTACATAGATACTCTGTACTAGTCACCAAACTAACATTTTACATTTATTATATAATTTAATTCTTATAAGCATCTAATGGGGTTGTTATGATCATCATCCTCACTTTAAAGATAAATATGTTGAGTTATGGTAAATTCAAGGATATGTTTCCCAGAAAATCAGGTTCCAGAGCCAGTATTCTTAATTATTTTCATATTTGATTAACAAGCTTGGCTGGAACATTTATTCCAAAATCATTTAAGCCTGTGCTTATGTTCTAGGGACTGTGTGCTGAGTAGAAGAGATCTAACAATCAGTAATACACAAAGGAGAGAAAACATAAATAAACCAGTGCAGTAACATATGAGTGCTATCCAGCAATATTTCCATATTAAATGTTGACACCTACCTGAAGTCATCTTGAGCAATTTATTCAATCTTGTTGACTAAATAATGGGTAAATTTGATATGTAGTATTAACTTTCAGAATGGTTGAGTTAGATATTTACAATATCATCAGAAATCTACCTTTCTTCAGTTTATTGGATCTCTTTCTCTCTGACTTAATTTCTGGATGATCCTTAGGATGCACTAAGACTCATCTCATATGGGCCTCAATTTTGTGTCCCTACTGAGTTCAGAGAAAGAGTAAATTGACTCCCATACAATAGAATCTATATCTGTTTCCCCAAAGGGCTATGATTTGTTTTGATTAGGAAAGAGATTATCACTGGCCAATCCTTGTGTCCGCCGGGATGGAGTATTCTGACTGGTCAGTGAATGTCATGAGCTCATCCTCTGTGATGTGAGACAAAAGTCCCATAGCAGTTAGGTCTCCTGGGATCACTCAAAGTAGAGGAGGAACAATTTCCGAAAGAAAACGATCAGTAGAAAAAAAGTAACGGATGCCACCTCAGAATCTAAGGAGTTATGATAGAAATATCTACAAGATACAGTCACGAGATAGGGGAGTAGAGGGGAACTGTAAGAAAACAAGAAAATCATCCTTCAGAGGAAGCTCAGAAAAGAAAACTGGTGATTAAGTGGAACATCAAAGAGTTAAACATAATCATAGCGGAATGTGAATTTTGAGTAGCAGACAGACTGGAAGAATAAGCGGGATATGAACTTGGAAGACATTTCCTTTCACACTAAGAATTTTTATTTATTGATTGATTTATTGATTTATTGATTTTGAGACAAAGTCTCGCTCTGTTGACCAGGCTGGAGTGCAGTGGTGTGATCTCAGCTCACTGTAACCTCTGCCTCCCAGGTTCAAGCAATTCTTCTGCCTCAGCCTCCTGAGTAGCTGGGACTACAGGTTCCCGCCACCACGCCTGGCTAATTTTTGTATTTTTAGTAGAGATGGGGTGTCACCATATTGGCCAGACTGGCCTTGAACTCCTGACCTCATGATCCATCTGCCTCAGCCTCCCAAAGTGCTGGGATTACAGGCATGAGCCACTATTCCCAGACAGAAATTTGTATTTTATCCAACAGG